ACAGCTCCACGTCAACTCGACTGCAGCTGTGGACACTCAAACAAGGTCGTAGCTCAAGGCAGTTGTAGCTGAGCTATTAGCCGAAGGCAACTCACCCGCTACAGTGCTTGTTAAGCGTACTGCAGCTGCGCAGCAGGTTTTGTGAGCTCTTGAGTACGATCCGAACGGGATCGAGCGGCACTGTGATTCGGGACTTGCGCGAGGAGCAAGGAAACAATCGGCAGACCGAGTGACTGCGCTAAGCCAAGTTTTCCCAAGTAGCCTGCTTTGGACGTTTCCCCCGGGTTAGTAGTAGTAGTAGTAGTAGTAGTAGTAGTAGTAGTAGTAGTAGTAGTAGTAGTAGTAGTAGTAGTAGTAGTAGTAGTAGTAGTCGTCGTCGTCGTCGTCGTCGTAGTAGTAGTAATAGTCGTAGTAGTAGTCGTAGTAGTAGTAGTAGTCGTAGTAGTAGTAGTAGTAGTAGTAGTAGTAGTAGTAGTAGTAGTAGTAGTAGTAGTAGTAGTAGTACCAGTAGTACCAGTGGTACCAGTAGTACCAGTAGTACTAGTAGTACTAGTAGTACTAGTAGTACTTGTAGTAGTAGTAGTAGTACTAGTAGTAAACTGGTAGTAGTACTAGTAGTACGAGTACTAATAATAATAATTACGTTTGCATACGCAGGCCTCACAACGTCAGTTGAGGGACTATGGGCTGGCAAGGCAGACACTTCACAGCACGCAGGACTTTTCCTCATGCTCTGGTCTGCAATCCTGTAACTAAAGAGTACTAAAGAGCCTAAAATTTGCGGTGGCCAGCAGGAGAATGTTCGCACTCCCCCTTTCGGCCTTGTCGAAACTGTCTCGGCTTTCGAAGCAAAAGGTTTTGGACTACAGAGTCCTTAAACAAGTCTGTTGTTGACTCAAGGCTCTTCAAACACGGACTTGGAGGGATTTGCCAGCCTTCGTCGGCAAGCCCTCACGGGCTGCTGCAGGACAGAATGCAGCCCTTATTGCCTCCTTCTCCTGAGCGTGGGCTTCCCAAAAACCTCTCCGGGCCTCGTGGAGCCTCACTCGTTTGATTTCTAGGGCCTCCGGGGCCCTCATGCTCCCCAGCGGAATGTGTTTTGGAGGACATGTTCGTGCAGCCAGTGTAGCTGAAGCGTGCACAGTCCCTACGATCACAACATGGATTGCCACTGCACATGAACTCGACACAACTGCAACTGCAACTGCTCACGTGTTTGCTTAAAGAGCAAAGCTCAACATGATTGTCATGCGGCATTTCCAACATCAATTTTTTGTCTCCTGACTCCCCCCCATTTGCGCTGCAAATGGCAGTGGACATTAGTCCTTCCTTGGCTCCCCCCAACCTGGGCCTTGGGGCTTCATGTTTTACGGGCTCTCCCAAAGCGAAGGTGGACCAATCAACATCGTACAGGTTGTCATAGCCATCAGTGACAACATCAACCAAATCCCCAACAAAAAAGGATTCTGCGCTTGAAGAAACATGACTGGACATGGCACGGCCTGCACTCATGTCACACACACACACACATGTAGTGAAGCCAAACGAATGCTTTTCAACAGATTGGACACGTCACTAACAAGACCGTCAACAGCAGAAGGAGTGGGGGCACTTGGGGTTCCTCTACCAGGGGTATCGTTGACGGGAATGTCCTCGATCACTGTTTTGTTGATCTGAGGCTTTTGGGGGCTTTCGACCTCCTCCCAGCTCCCCGCCCAGCTCCCCGCCCACGCGCCCTCACCTGCACCTCCACCTGGCCTTCTACATTTACCCGAAGGGTGGTTTTCCGCGCCGCATACCTTGCATGAACCTGCAGACTTCTCCACATCATGCTTGAACTTGCACTGGGCCCCAAACCTGCAACCTCTGTGCTGAACCCATCCCCTGCAAGCTCCGACACTCCCATACCCAGCCCACTCGTCGCCGCCGTATTCCCCTGCCGCGGTGCTACATTCTAATCTAGACACCTTGGGGTCACGCTTAAGACTTTCGGGCTCAACCTCGACATTGATGGACAAGTCCTCGAACTCCGCCAGAAGACTTTTGCCATACTCTTCTACTGCGCACAACGTAGGGCAGTGATCTAACCGATAAGCGTGACGATGCGCAGAGCATCTGAAACCTACCTGCGGGTACTTCTCCAACAGGTCGCTTGAACAAACGTCCAACGCAGCCAGCAAAATTGAACAATCTGGTATCTGCACTTCTGTCATGGACCTCGCACGCGCCAACCAGCGAAACCATGTTTGAAGGGTTTCTACTCCCTGTTTCGCAGACGCCGCGACTGGCAACTCACCAAGCCCTCTCAGCAAAGACTGTCTCTCCAGAAGTCCTCCAGGCTGAAAAGATTTCAACACCTGAAACAATAAGCCTACCGTGGTCAACGAACGACTCGCGAGGGCCTGTTGGTACACACTGTCAGGGACCGCCTTACTAAGCATCGCAAGCGCTCGTGCCTCGAGTCTAGTATACCTTGGGTCTCCCAACTCGCCCTTCAGCTCCCCCACGATCGAGCCACGCAAAGTCGACGAGGACGACGCATATCGATCGTACGCATTCTGCGCCTCCGAAACGACACTGTCCCACCAGTACGCGGAACCTGAACTCAAATCGGCCATCAACGGCTTGATCTTGTACAGCCAATCCGAAGCTCTCAAAGCAGGGTTGGTTTCACTCACCGGGCCTAACACCGGTAAGTCCCACATCACGCGATCTCCAACTGCAAACGGGTCTCTACCTCCAGTCCCAAAACCAAAACGATCCCAAGACCTTTCAGCTCCACCCTCATGTGCACGCGCAGGCACATCATGCACAACACTGCTTGCGACACGACTCTCAAGCCTCTCTGGCGCTCCACTCCGGTCACTCTCAACATGCTCATGTGGACATGCCCTCGTGTCATGCTGCACCGGATTCGGGGCGGGTGGTTCAACAGGAGGCGGATACTTTGGGGGCGTGGGCGGCGGCGTGCTGGTCGGCGGTCTAGGCGGCGGAGTTGGTGGACGGGGATCTAGACTGTTCCCTTGTGGATCCAGAATGACAAGTTCACCCGTGGAGCTCCACGTTCCATACACAACTCTTCCTCCCATCCTTGCTCTCCTGAGGTTTAGGGGGTTCTTTTGGGGGCTTTGGCAAATCCCTCTGATACATCTCACAGGCTACACTCGCAGTCTGTACACCTAGAGTGAGCACATCCGGCGAACTGCTGACGGTACCTAGCTGTTCACTCGGCCAACCCTCACGAGCGGCAACAGAGCCTTGCGTACTCAAAACGCCGAACGATGCAGGGTTGAGGCTTCCAGCGTTTGTTCCCGGACTCACTCCAGGATCACTTGGGTGATCCACTCCAGCCAGATCCAAGGCACTGTGCATAGAACCAGCTGAAGATGATTTGCGCTCCAGTCTCTCCAGTCGGTCAGTCAAGCCACCCAGCTCACCTCGAAGATGACCTTTCATGTCGATGACTTGATCTGCCACCTGTCCCTGAAGGCTCACCATCTGCGCTGACAACGTTTGAACATCAACGGACGTTCGCTGCATACCCTCGTAAAGACCTTTGATCAACCATCTGAGCTCCTCTGGCGTACGTGCAGTGTCTCTAGGCGTCCCATCTGCAGAACTTTCACCATGAGCCGCACTGCTCGTATTGCCTCCTTCTGAAGCCCACTCATCCGAAATTGGTATTTCGGCTGCCCTTTGTAACAGCAACGTCACATCTTCCAGAGACGGCTGGCCCTCGCGGGCAGCTGCACGTGGTTCAGAGGCCTGTGCCAAACTTGCATGGTCTTCCTCTGCTCCAGTGCTAGGCAGTCCAGTCACGGCTCGAACGTCGCGACCATCTTCCATGCCCACTGCACCACGGGTCGTCTCAGATGCTACCATCACTGCTTCTGCGCTTGGCCTTGCCACAACCTCCGCGTCTGCTATCCGTGGTAGGTCTCGTGGTCTAGCCTCGCAGTTCCAGGATCAGGCCGTTCTCCTCCCTCAGCGGTTTCTAACTGTGGAAGGTCTCTTGGCCTTGCTCGCTGCAAACTAAAGGTGTCCTGCGCTCTCTCGCTCCAGAACGGGTTGGGTCGTGCCTCCGACGGACCCAAGCTAACGGCTCTTCTGCGCCTCATACCAGCCTCCATAGCTCCACTCACTAGAGCTACGGCTGATAACCTACGTTTGCATACGCAGGCCTCACAACGTCAGTTGAGGGACTATGGGCTGGCAAGGCAGACACTTCACAGCACGCAGGACTTTTCCTCATGCTCTGGTCTGCAATCCTGTAACTAAAGAGTACTAAAGAGCCTAAAATTTGCGGTGGCCAGCAGGAGAATGTTCGCAATAGTAGTAGTAGTAGTAGTAGTAGTAGTAGTAGTAGTAGTAGTAGTAGTAGTAGTAGTAGTAGTAGTAGTAGTAGTAGTAGTAAGTAGTAGTAGTAAGTAGTAGTAGTAGTAGTAGTAGTAGTAGTAGTAGTAGTAGTAGTAGTAGTAGTAGTAGTAGTAGTAGTAGTAGTAGTAGTAGTAGTAGTAGTAGTAGTAGTAGTAGTAGTAGTAGTAGTAGTAGTAGTAGTAGTAGTAGTAGTAGTAGTAGTAGTAGTAGTAGTAGTAGTAGTAGTAGTAGTAGTAGTAGTAGTAGTAGTAGTAGTAGTAGTAGTAGTAGTAGTACTAGTAATACTAGAAGTACTAGTAGTACTGGTAGTGTAGTAGTACTAGTAGTACTAGTAGTACTTCTAATAGTAGTAGTAGTAGTAGTAGTAGTAGTAGTAGTAGTAGTAGTAGTAGTAGTAGTAGTAATAGTAGTAAGAGGAGGAGGAGGAGGAGCAGCAATAGTTGTAGTTGGAAAAGACAGAACCAAATGATTTGCGCCACCTATCTTCCCCCACCCCCCCCACGGTGGTAGAATAGGTGGCGGGCTCCAGGAACAATAGGTGGGAATCCACGTGACCCACCCCCCCCCCGACCACCTATTACGAGACGGTCCCCATGCTGCATCTGAACATGTCCGGCGCGTGCCTCGTACGCCGCAACGAGCTCCTGAAACCTTACTGGCATTGGCTTCCAGCATCTAGAAACATGACCACGAGAGGCAGACCATAGCACGCCCGGGTTCCTTGCTCTTTAGTGGCAGCCTCCTTGCCGTCATGATGCTTGTCCGGGTGGCACTGCACTGCCAGCCATCGGTAGCGCTTCCTGCATGCTCTGGAAAGGGTCAGTGTCACAAGCACGCTTATTGATCATAATCGTGCCTGACAGCGTCAGGGGTGCACGCAATGGCGTTCGGATCCTCGATTCTCACCAGTTTGAACACAAAGAAACACGAAAAGCACACGGCATACAGGGCCACGACCAGTCCAAGCTTGGCGAAGTGCGTTAGCAGCTCCTTCGGCACTTCCTTCGGCTCCTCTGCGGTTTCCTTTGCGATGGAGGGCTGCCAGGCCGAACAAGTCCCCTGTGTCTCCGACATGACTGACATGACACGCTGCCTGCAGGAAGGCCTTTGCGCGCTGCAAGAGCTCCTCTGCAGCGCGCGCTGCGCGAAGATGAATGGGGCCAACTTCTTTGCATGGTTCACGAAACGAGGAAACAAAACAAGTTGCGCAGCAGTTGAGGGCATACCTGCACGTGAGGTGGATGTGCTCTTCCACAAGCCTGCCCGAGAGCTTTCTGTTCAACTCAAAGTCCCTGCACCGTGCCTACATGAGCAAATGCGAAAACGTGCGTTAGCAGCTCCTTCGGCACTTCTTTCGGCTCCTCTGGGTCTTTGGGGTCCTTTGCGATGGAGGGCTGCCAGGCCGAACAAGTCCCCTGTGTCTCCGACATGACTGACATGACACGCTGCCTGCAGGAAGGCCCTTGCGCGCTGCAAGAGCTCCTCTGCTGCGCGCGCTGCGCGAAGATGAATGGGGCCAACTTCTTTGCATGGTTCACGAAACGAGGCAACAAAACAAGTTGCGCAGCAGTTGAGGGCACACCTGCACGTGAGGTGGATGTGCTCTGCGCGACCTACACAGAGCGACATAGCAACATAGCTCGGTGTGTGATCCGGGAGTTGGTGCTTTGGGGTTTTGCCTCATTTGGAAGGCCTTTGATAGCCCTTTAAGTGACAAGGAGGGCAAGCTCTACGTGTCACCATCAAGCCTTGTCAGCTCGACACGCTGCTGCTGTACCTGCCACATTCCGGACAATCGGGTAAGTAGGCTATCCAACGCGAGCACGATGGCGCGCAAGGCTTTCAAGGCTAAAATGTTTCGCAAGAGGACGCGCTGAACTGCATGAACACCGACCACTGACAGTCAAGACCAGGAGAGCCGGGAGCAGCTGAACGCCATCACTACTGTCTCATCATCTATAGCACGCCCAACATTTTAGTGCGGCCCTGAACACTGTATCAGAACTATGGCAGCTATAGCGGCAGCTAGTGAACCTCACAGTCAATCGGACAAGGGTCCTGAGGGTCATGCAGCTTGTACAACTGTACAATGTTACAACGGCCGCGGAGTCGGAAACTAAAAACAAAGATGCGTTCGGGAACTGGAACGACACTCAGACTGGGACAACTACAACCGCTACGAAACGAGGAGTCGGGAAACTGGAGCGGCGAATTCTAGATGTGATCGGGAAAGGCCTGTCGTTCTAAGCCCGTCTGTTCTGCTGATGGTTGCTTCTGCGGGGCCTTGTCTCGTAACATTTGCTCGTCGTGCCAGCTAACCTCGACATGGCAAAGTCTCATCGACGCACTGTAACAGCGAGGAGCGTATGCCTGGCAACGGCAACTGATCATGGACAAGAAAAAGCCGTCAAGACGGCGGCGTCCCCCTCAGAGGACTCGCTTTCCAGATCTCCCTGCGAATTTGTATCTGCTGGCTTTGCTTCGCACATCTTTGCACACAAGCATGGTGCTGCACTTGAACAAGACACCTAGCTCTACCTAGATGATCTTGTTCCACGCCTCCAAAGTGTCTGGAGTGGAAGTTGAGCCTGCAACATGCACAAGCGTGCTCGCCGAGACACGCACCAGCAAACCGAACCTTCTGCGTCCCCTCCAAGGACCTGGTTGCTTCTTCGGGAGCGATAAAACGGAAGCAAGTCAAGGGGCTGAAGCTGAAGAGCAAGCGCCCATGGCCTTGACTTTCTTAGGGCAGCGCATCCTCTTGAGCATCTGGCCTGGAGTTCAATGGCCACATATGCATGCATGTGAGGAAGGCCTCGGTGACTCTACGTCGGGTGTTATAAAGTCGTCGAAGCGTTCCTACAAACCTTCTTTATTCTTGCACCCACCCAAGTGAGCATCAGTGACACCCATTTCTTTTTCATTGGGGGGGAGGTTTTCATGATGTGCACCCATCGTTTCTCTCGCAAGCATCAGGCCCTGGCCCACAGGCTTCGCTGCTGCTCCACGAAAGCGTCCTAAGCACACTCTTTTTCTGCTGTGGAGCCCCAGCACGCCAGAAAACCGTGAGGAAACTGCGCGACTCATGCGGGCATTTGCACAGCTGAGGAGGGCAACATGTGGAACCATTTCTGTGTTGCAAACCCCGGACTTCCATGCTTCAAGCACGCCGTTTCCGAGAGCTGGCTGCAGGTGGCACGCATTGCAGCCAAGAAGGACAAGGTGCCCAGCGATCCCAGACCGTTGTTTCTGAACGAAACGGATGCTGTCATTGGGATCAGGCTCTTTCATTTCTGCGGACGGCGCCGCTAACCGGTAACACTCGAATAGTTTTTCAGGTTTAGACGTTGCAGTAGAATTTGCATCTTGGAAACACCTTCCTCCCAACCGGACAACATGAGGCGATGCCGTTTGAATGCCAAGGTTCATGGTTTCCGCTTCCTGAGCGCTTGAGAGCTAAGAGCCCTCCAGGCGGGGCCCCGCATTTTTGGCCAAGCGGCTCCGTAAACCTTGGCATAAGGAGCATCAAAGAGCCTCCCACCCACGGGGTGTCCGATTGGGGATGAAGGTTGGCGGCCGCCAGTCAGACCAACCACACTGCAAGCTAAAAATCGGGAGGAAAGGCGACTTCAGAGGAAAGGTGACTTCAGAAAACTGAACTGTCGCGATATTACACGCACGGATTTCCAGCGGGCCCAGGGCGAGAACAGTCACACGTGCGACGCTCATCGGTGCTGATGCTTGGTTCTTGGGGTGGAGCAGGCTTGAAAACAGTTCAATTGAACACATCGACAACAGCATGTGCACAGAGCTTCTCGGCTTCCGGGCCCAAGCTGCTGATGCCACGTCTTTTCATTAGCGAGCCATTCTTGCAACCTTTGGAATTCACAAAAAGGCTCTGCCATAGCGCCACTGCCTATACACTGTATCAGGACTTAACTAATTAGGAGCAACAACAGTGAGATGTTAGGCCACCGGCAGAAGTCACTGCGTAAGAACGTCCCCCATTTGAACTCTGCAACTGGGACCCAAGCCAAGATTCTGACGGGTAGTAGGACGCAACGTCCCAGTCCTAGCACTGCTGGCTACAATGCTTGGGACATGTTTTGTAGACCTAAACCCGATTTCCCAAACGCATTTGGGAAGGCAGCTGCTTGGACCAAAACAACCCAAAACCGCGATTCCCAATCCCCTTTTGAGGACTCTACAATGGGTGGGGGCTGGGCGGCAGCGCTTTCCCAAGACATGTTTCTCAACTTTGTGGCTGTTTGTCACGGCCTATTGTTGATGACATGATCAGCGACGCGGCCTCACATCGAAGAAAGCCTCATGATGCCTCCCCCAAGATCCAGCACCCTTGCCTTTTCTGCGCGACACACATCCAAAGCGAGGCAAGATCGAGTCAGCCCCTTTCTAGATCAAGAAACCTATTAAAACGACTTAGACCTGTCTTCGACTTTCCGAAAGTTTATGCAACATGGAAGTGGGCGTGCAAATGTTTTCTGCACTTGCCCCGCTTGGCCCACTTGCTCTGGTCCCCTGGTGGCAAACCATATTGCCCCACTTGCCCCACTTGCCCCACTTGCCCTGCGCGAACCGGTAAGCGATTTCTGCCACTTGCCCCGCTTGCCCCGCTTGGCTCACTTGCCCTGCGTCCCCCTCCCCCTGAACCTGCAGCCTGGAGCTTGGGGGAAGTGGGAAAAACAAGGAAAGCGAGGGAAGTGGGGCAAGCGGGGCAAGTGGGGCAAGCCCCCCTTCCCCGAGAATGGAACCCTTTGGCTGTAGCCACAAGTCTGCCTCAAAGACAGGCCCAGGAAGGACCCAAGGCGCAGCTCTGGCTCCAACCACAAGTCTGGGGGGGGCCCCACTTGCCCCGCTTGCCTGCCCCACTTGCCCCGCTTCTCCAATGTCCCCCCATTTCCCACGCTTTCCCCCATCGCTCCACTTCACCCACCTCTCCACTTCCCCCATCTCCAGGATCTCAGGGGATGGGGAGGGAGATCTGCAGGGCATGGGGACAAGTGAGGCAAGTGGGGCAGGTGAGGCAAGTAGGGCAACATCAATTGGCTCTTCCGGGTCACCAAGTGGGGCAAGTGAGGCAACTGGGGCAACATCAATGGGGTTTTCCGGAGAGCAAGTGCGGCAAGTCGGGCAATATTAGCGCTGGGCGCTCGCCATGCAACATGGGGTTTAAGAGCTCAGCTTCTTGGCTTGTCCTTTTCGGAGTTGGGAGTCTTGAAAAAGAACAAGTATTTAAAAGATTCAGGGCTGCCGGGTTTTCGGCTTAGGGCTGCAGTATCGGAGGACTTGAGGGGGTGTCTACAGTTCAGTGTAGGGCTTTTGGCTTTGGGGCGGTGTGTTTGGTTTCGGCGCTTTAGACACTTTAGAATTCATGGCGCAGGTTTCAGGGTTTCAGGGTTTCAGGGTTTCAGGGTTTCAGGGTTTCAGGGTTTGGCCCAAAATATGCAGACTATAAACGCCTGGTCCCGACCGAGACCCGACCAAAAGCTCAGCCTTCTCTATGGGTTTCCACTTAAAGCACTAAGGTCTTTAAGGCCATTTTGCATAAACTTTCTCAAAATCGGAAATAGTTCAAAATCGTTTCAGCAGCTTTCATGATTAGGTGTGAAGCTTGCAAATGAACTTGCTCAAGATAGTCATGGCTGGCCCAACTTTTCATCAACTAAAACTGAAATGTTGCAATGTCCTCGGGCAATGAGTCTGCTGTCGGAGATGGAGGAATCATCCAGGAGTCATCAGCCTCATGAGTCTTGTTCATGAAGCCAAAACTGCCCGACCCACAGCCGGCCCACAACCCCAGCCTGATTCTCGTCCTACACGGTTGCAGGTTTCAAAAAAATCGCCAAAACGCTCATTTCAAGCTACTGGTTCTTCCTAGAGAATGAGGGAGTTACATTTCTATATGTAGTCTTGAATGGGATTGTATAGGGTACCTCATTTCCTCACTCCCTACTAAGAACCAGTCGGTCAAGCTGTGAAAACCTGGAGCGTCCCAGTCCTTTTGGCGTCGAAGAGGCTTGGATATGAGACCTCGGAAGTATCCCAAGCTCTCAAAGAACAGGGGGCTGTTCAAGGTCAAGTCCTTACTATAAGGCGTCACCTACTATTTAGGGGACACAACATTGGACCATAATTTTGCACAAATCCTATCCTATGCACTTCTCTCACTTCATGCCGGCCTTTCCGAAACGAGCATTTCACTCTCAGCGTCAACAACTAACACGCCACCTGAGTGCCGAACCTGCACAAAGTCTTTCGAAAGCCGTGAAACAGCCTGAACTGGACAGTTGCTACGATGAACATTCGTGTGGACAGTGTCAAGCCCCTGAAAACACACCCTCGATAGGCCCTCTGCCGCAGAGGCTGCACAGCATTTCCATGAGCAACACTTCCAGAACTTGTTTCACTGCTGTTTTTGATCACTGTGACTAAGCTGCGCCAAGTAAGCCACGCAAAGCTCGCGGCGTTGCAGGCAGGCCATCAGAACGTGTTCGTGTCAACACAAAGCATGACATGCATCTGGTCAAGCTCAAGTTAACAGCTCCGGGAATCTTGTCGCTCTTGACAGAAGCGACAGCGCTTTTGTCGAACGGCTCTGCGTGCGCATCACAGTTCACCACCGTCTCACCTACGGCGTTTGGCGCAGAGTTGGAAGCTTCACCAGGCACCGCGACAGAGTTCACCGAGGGAGCAGGTCCTACAATTCAATCCTACACAATGTGCTTCACAGGTCGAAAATCAAGCGTCGACGCAGACTTGGCGCAAGGTGATAAAAGTGAACTTCTGCTAAAACGGCTGTAGCACTGTAGAGCTTGAGTGGTCAACAATGTGCGCACGTTCTCCTACCATGTCTGACAGAAGCAATCTCACACAGAGTAGCTCTTGCACTGCAGTCTCGCTCAAAGCCCGCAACGTCATTCGGCGCTGTGCAAAAGGCGAGGGGGACCTGGGTGCAGCGAGGGCAAAAAGATGGCCACCCTCGCACGCTCACTTGCACCCACACAGCCTAAACCATTTCGACCCCATTTCGACCCCATTTCGACCCCATTTCGACCCATTTCGACCCCATTTCGACCCCATTTCGACATTTTGAAGCTTTTTTGAAGCTTTTTTGAACCCCCATCAATGTGTCAGAAGAGTCCTACGGCTGCAAAAGCCCTTGCAAACTCTCAAAGGTCCGAGCGCTCACCCAGAAAATGCGAAAGAACGAACCTGGACTGGGGCACTGCAGTGCATCTAGAGTCTCAAGGTTCTCTCACCACGTGGTGGTGCATAAGTGGTGATGTGTGGTCCCCAGTAGCCCAGCAGAACTCACACAGCTCACACTCCTACCAGCCCTAGCACAACTCACACAGCTCGCGCTCCTACCACCACTCCTACGGGCGCCAAGACATGCACAAAGCTTCTAACGCAAACGGACTGGAGGGCGCTGCGTAGAGAAGTCGATGAAGAGGTCGGGCTAGCCCTAGCTTACAGCATTCCTGCGCAGCACTCCTAGTGTCCTTCCAAAGCAGTCTGTGCACTTCTTACAAACACTCCTAGCGCTCCTAAAACAGACCTCACTTGCAAAGACTCAAAGCGCCCGACGCCCAAAGCTCGAAGAAGTCGCTGTCCACGATCGGCACCTGACCGAAGACAGAGGGCCCGGGGCTTCCGGGAGCAGATGGGCTTCACCTACCCTATCCTCAACCCTAAACCTACCCTGCAGACGCAAACAGTCCTGTGCGAACTGTCCTGCGACTCACTCTCCTACCTGCACTCCTACCACCACTCCTACCAGCACTCAGTCTCTCTGAGGAACCGACGAAAAAATCAAGCTTGAACTACAACATGTCCCCCCAAAGGCATTCTAGTAAGCAATGCTTGCCCGTCACTTGTCTCTATCTTATGAATAACCTTTACTTGCTTGTTGCTGTTGCCCGTCTGCATCATTGTGAATTATCCAGCCTATGTCACTGTGAACCGCGGCGCGGGTCATAGACCATTAAAACACAGGTTCTCTTTAAAGTTCTCTTTAGCAAAAGAGGCAAGGAAAATTGCAAGCATGCCAAGCAAAAATCAAGCAAAAACTCTGCAAATCAAGCAAGATTCGGGCAAACTAACTTACCTTGTTGAATTTTGTACCTATTTTTGTATATTTGTATTTTTTATATTTTAACTTACATATTTTTCTGCACCCACAAGCGCTTTGAGCAAAACCTGATGAAGCAGGCCGAAGCGCTGGGCAAAAGGAAAATGGCCCATCAAGCGTTGGAGCTCGTAGCGGACTTTTCCCAAAGCAACCACTCCCCCGACGTGAGGCTCTTGGGCTGCTCGGTCCGTTCCCTGTTGCGTCAGGCCGAGAAAGATTATGACGAGCTCTCCGAACGTCAACACACGAAGGACCTGGACCAGAACCCAGGGAAAAGCATGAAGAGTAATCCTCGTGATCTGTTCTGCAGGGTGCCGGGCTGCGAGCTGAAAAACTTTCGTTTCAAGACAAAAGAAGCCCTTCGCAACCACACAATTCGAAAGCATCCCTTGCCCGAGGAGGTCCGCACCGCCGCTCAGGAAGAGGGCTGGATCATCGTGCCCTATGCCTGCGAAACAAAACTCGCAGCTGAGGAGGCTATGCTGCATTTGCGCGGAATGGCTGACCAAAAAAGTAAAGCATGGGCAAAATCAAAAGTCTTTCCGAGCCCTTCCTACGCGAGCAAACAGCCCCACGACCCCGTGGTGCCACAATTACCCAGCACTGGGATCCTCGTCGGTCCCTCGAAGAGTGGCAAGACCGTTGCCTTGATTTCTATGATTCTCGAACAGTACAGAGGCTGCTTTGAGCGCATCATTGTGTTTAGTCCCTCGATTAACGTAGATGATGGCTGGCCCCATCAAGAAATACATCGAAGAGGACATGAAGGTGAACACGGACCGAGAGCAAGTGTACTTCGAGAACTGGGACGAGGCCGCCCTGCGAAGGATCATCGACCAGCAACGCAAGATCACCCAAACCTCCAAGGAGCTGAAAATGAAGCGCCTCTACCAGATTCTGATCACCATCGACGATTTTGCTGATAGCCCCCACCTGCACAAGAAGACCGGCGACGCCGCCCTGGAACACCCTGTTTATCAGAGGCCGTCATTTCCAGATTTCCACGTGGGTCAGCACCCAGAAGCTGCGCTTGATCAGCAACGCCGTGCGGGTCAACGCCCAGCAGTGGAAAAGGACAGCCTGCTCGAAAAGCTCACGGCCTTCGTTCCCAAGCAGCAGCTCCACGCCATGTACGAGGAGGCCGTGCGGGAGCCCTACAGCTTTCTGTACATCTACCTGCTGAACCCCAGGAACGAGTTGCTACTTCGGTGCCCTGCTGGGCCTGGCGCTGCTGACTTGGGTGCCCTACTGGGCCTGGTGCTGCTGGCTCGCTGCTTGCTACTTGGGTGCCCTGCTGCCTGTTGCTTGTTGCTGAGGTGTAAGGTGCTAAGCAGCACCACGGCGGCACCGCGCCCAAGTAGCACGCAAGCACCAGGCAGCAGCATCAGTCAGCAGGGCACCCAGCAGCAAGCAGCCAGCAGCACCAGGCCCAGCAGGGCAGTCAGGTAGCAAGCAGCGCCAGCCAGCAGCACCAGCAGGGCGCCAGCCAGCAGGGCAGTACCAGCAGCACCAGGCCCAGTAGACCACCCAAAAAGCAGGCAGCGCCAGCCAGCGGCTGCCCTGCTGCTTGGGCTGCTTGCTACTTGGGTGGCCTGCCGGCCGCTGGTGCTGCTTGTTACTTGGGGTGCCCTGCTCTGCCTGCTGGGCCTGGCGGGCCTGGTGCTGCTGGTGCTACTTGCTACTTGGGTGCGCACGCTGGGCCTGATGCTGCTGGCTGGTGCTGCTTGGCATTTGTGGGCCTGACGCAGCTGGTGCCTGCTACTTGTGAGTGCCCTGCTGCTAGAAGAAGGTCCAGTGGACCCTGGGAGAAACGTCCAAAGCAGGCTACTTGGATAAACTTGGCTTAGCGCAGTCACTCGGTCTGCCGATTGTTTCCTTGCTCCTCACGCAAGTCCCGGATCACAGTGCAGTCGATCCTGCTTGGGTCGTACTCAAGAGCTCGCAAAACCTGCTGCGCAGCTGCTGTGCGTTAACAAGCACTATGGCGGGTGTGTTGCCTTCGAAAAGAGTGTCCAAAGCTGCAGTCCGGTTGACGTGAGAAGTTGTACAAAAGCAAAAGCAAACGACGTGCAATTGCTACGTCACTGCATCACATGCTACAATGATGCCAGCTGCAAAATGCAATCTACACAACGCAGGAAGCGAGGGGACATGTCTCTATCTCACAGGCACAGCCGCTTCCAGCAGCCCCGGATTTTAAAGAGACATGGATCCCCGATTCCGTGCAAACGGCGAGATTTTGAAATCTGGACAGGCTAACCGGCTAACCTACGGGCTACTACCCGCTCAACATGCGCGCTCAGCTCAGCTCGAGGATGCACGGTCTGGCCCTTTGGGCGGCCCTTTCTCGCGAAGCCTACGCCTCGGCTCGAAGTTCAACTTTGCAGGAACGGAACGATCCCACAAATCAGAGAACCAAGCCTTGTAGGTCTCCGCGCGAGGATCTCCCTCGGCTTCCGCTGTTTCGAAGCGCATGACCATTTCAAAATTACACCTACTAGCTCGGGTGTAATTGTGCGACTCGGCGTAGATAGTCGTGGTTTGCCCACTGTCCACTAAGAGCGTTTTTGCGTGTAGCGCTCCAGACTAACCGGTCTGTCGGGGGTAGGTGAGCGACAACGGCTTCCCCGAGAGTACGTGGACTTCCACACCAGATTCCCTCAAGCTCTGCAAACATGGCAGTGAGTCATTGCATGACCGGCTGTTTTTCTCATCCACGAGCAAGAGAACCTTAGCCCCAGCTTCTGCCGCGACGCACAGCGCCGGTGTCACTTGGTCACAGTCATACGTATATGCTGTAGCCATTATATCATTGGGGCCTGGATCTCCCGCTGACGGTGAGATGTCAACAACAGCCTTGCTAACCCAATCGCTGTCAGGGAGAAGCGTTGCGGACGCAACATTGGCGTCATACCCTGTCGTCTGCGCCTTGTTGTGAGACGCTTGACGAAGGGCGTGCTGCGCTCTGAGCTGTGTCTGAGGCCCGCTGTCCTCGTCTCAGACCGCTCTAACTCTTTGCGTAGCTGGGTGTTCTCCTTTCTTAACAGCAGAAGAGGACAATTGGCAAGCGCAGCCACCGCACGAGGAGGCGTCGCACTCCTGGGAGGCCACAGGTCAGCATCGGCCCGACCCAAATCGCTCAATTTGGCGGCAACCGCACTGTCAAGGAGTGGGAGCCCGTGCGCGAAAGTACGAGAAGCGTTTGCAGTACCTTCGTCAGCGCGCCGAGCGAGAACAGGCTGAGAGAGAGCAGGCAGAAGCAGCTGCCCGAGTCCGAGGATAAAAGTTTAAAGACTAACTTCAACCTTTTTAGAACCAAGGGTTCTCAGCACTCTTTTCTTCTCACTCGCAACTTCCACGAGGTGGGTGTCTTGAGCCTATACACAACGGTGTGAAACAGGTTGGGTAGGAAATTGAATATCCTGTTACGCCCTCATCGAAATTCGTTGGTGAAACGAACTTCGATCACATTCAATTTTCCACCACACTTCTCTCATGCTCCTTCGAGCAACTCCACACGTTTCTCGCACACCTCATTGGGCTGCTCTCTTTTCGCATGCTCCATTGAGCTATTGTCTTCACATCGTAGATCTGTGGTGTGGATCATCTGGAGCTACTGCACACATTTCTCGCATGTGGCGCTTGCATGGCTCCATCTCCCTTTTCTTTAAACACACTTTAAACAGTTAAACACATGCACTTGTTGTGAAACATCTCGCTTCGCATGGTGAAACTTTTGAGCATTTCAGCTCTCAAGCCTACGGGCTTTCATGGGCCATCGCCCTCAGGACCTTTTGGTCACATTCTTGACCTCTCACAGGTCTTCCATTTGGATATTGGCCGCTGGGGCCTTTGTCTTCTTCTTGGCCTTTTTCTCCTTCTTATCCTTCTTCGGCTTTTTGTCCTTCTTTTCCTTCTTCACTTTGCTTTCCTTCTTTTCCTTCTTGTCGGCCTTCTTCTTCTTGGCATCCTTCGATGCTTGCTCCTTTTCGATGCTTTCCTTTTCTGCTCCCTCTTTTTCGATGCTTTCCTTCGCTGCCTTGGCCATTGCCATCTTTGCCTTCCGCTCTTCTTCTTTCTCCGGAAAGCTCCATTTGATCCCTTCCGGATCCTTCTTCTCGAGATCAATCATCTCATCTTGCTTCTTTGACTCTTCCTTGTCATCATCCGTAACTTCTTCGATGTGTGGCCCTGCCTGCTTGGGCATAGCCTTCACCTTAGGCTCCAAACTCTCGACCTTTCTCTCCATTTGCTCAACTCCCCATTTGGGATTCGGCGGCTGCGGCGATGCGGCCTCTTTGGCCTTCAAAAACTTCTCTTCTTCCTTTTCGCCTTCCTTCCATGAGCGGCATCGTTGATGCGTGTGATTTCCCCATCCTGTCATTGACAGAACTTGCAGAAAAGTCCTGCATTCGCCTTCCTGCGGTCTTCCATGGATGGCACACTTCCACCCAGCTCCAACGCAAGCTTCGCCATTGCTTCGCAATACATGGCTTTATGGCTCTCTTCTCCGCAGAAAAAGCAACCCTTCAGTCGGGTGCCCCCTTTCGGGCTTTCTCCAACTTTCTGCCTCTTTGGTTCGGGCTCGTCCATTGACGGCTTCCTCAGTGGCTCTGGAGCCTTTTTCGGCATTGGGCGGTTCATCTTTACGCCTCTAGGCTCATCTGCCATTGCCATTGGCTCGATCTCGCTCTCGCTTTCTTTCTTCCTCTTCATCAGCTCGAACAGCGAAAGTCTTTCTTTCTTTTTCGCATAGAGCCGTTTGAACTCCGGCCTTTCTTGGATCAGGAGGGTCATTACCTCTCCGGCCGATCTCATCATCACATTGATGCCTTTCACTACATCCTTTGACTTCTGGAACTTCGCCAATTCCTCCTTGGCTTCGTCAATGTTCTTCTCAGTCTCTTCCATTGCCTCTTTCAGGCTTTGCGCTTCCTTGAGGCCTTCCTCAATTTCGCTTTTCTTCTTTTGGTATTTGCGCCTTGCGCTTTCCGCTTCCTGCTCCAAGCCATCCATATCGCCATTGAAAATGTCGATACTTTCTCCCATGTCATAGAGTTCTTCAGCTGTCTCTTTTTTCCCATTGCTTCACCACGTTTCCAAAGTCATCTGGCAACTTTGCCGTGGGCCGTTGCATCTTCTCCTTAAACTCATCGAAGATCGCCCGCATGCGATCATTCTTCAAGTTTGTGGTGTCCAATGCGGACTCTCCTTGGAGGAGTACCCTGTACTCGTCCTCCAACAGACTCCAACATCGCTGACTCCTTTATCACCTTCCAGAGGCCCTCCTCCCCTAAGAGGAGGTACTTGGAGTCTTCGCACAGGATCAACTCGTCCTGGTCCTTTTGACCTTCTTCGCCCTTTGGCTCTTCGGGATCCTTCGGCTCCTTGGCCTTCGAGGGTTTTGGCTCTTCAGCCTCGTTGGACGAACTTGAGGAGTACTCATCTTCAGTCTTGCTCTCCTCTTCTTCACTTTCCTCTTGCGTCTCCTCTTCTTTCGGAGCATTCTTCATTCTTCTCTTCTTCTTCTTCTTCTTCTTCAGGAGCATTCTCCTCCTTTTCCTCTTCAGGAACATTCTTCTCTTCTCCTTCAGGAACATTCTCCTGGAGCAAATTCTCCCTTCGGTTCATTGCTCCTTGCCTCATCTCTGCAAGCTCTTCAACTCGCTGTTCCATGACTTCGGAATGAGCCTCTTCAGCCATTCCTTCTCTTCTTCTTTTTCTTTCTACTCTCAACCGCTTGATCCGCAAAACGGCTGCGACGGGAATCAAGTAACAACACGCGCATCCTATCAACACGATCAAGACTCTCATGCACAACGTTACTCCTTCGTCTTTTACATTTTCTTCTTCTTCGCCGAACTTCTTCGCTTCACCTAAGGCTACAAGAACAGCCATGGTGACGGCTTGAATGATCTTTGTCAACTTTTCTTCGCTCACTTTCCGGCCATTGCCGTTCATTCTTCTTACTTGGCCATTGCCTGCAACTTCTTCTTGATCAACAAACTCTCCTACATATCCAAGGCTTGCCATGTACTTCCTGATCTTGTCTTTGCTCAAGCTCTTTGTTCCCAGATCAGCTGGGTTGTCCTTTCCTTTGATCGCTTTGATGATCAACCTCGGAATACTCTGGATCCATAACAGATCAACGTCGAGATGGCGTGCTTTCCCCAGACCTTTCCGCGCAATCAACTGCCTTGAACTACTTGAGTCTGAGTACATTAACATCTTCGGCTCCTTGCCAAGGATCCTTGCCAACACTGCCTTCAGGAAAACTCCTTCGGAAAGTATTGAGGTTGCGGCTATCGTTTCCGCTTCGCATGAGCTTAGAGCTATGCTTTTCTGCCGCTTGCTCTGAAAATGGATCAGATTTCCATTCAGCATAATTGCTCCACACGACACACTCTGTCTTGACTCTCTGTCGGCTGCCCAATCCGAATCCGTCACTATCTCCAACAGTGACTCTTGCTCGTAGACATTTCTCTCTACTTCTTCTTCTTTCATTTCATTTCTCTCTTCGATGAAACTTCTTCCTGGATAACTCTTCTTGTGTATCAGCGACACATCGGGTGTACCCTTCAGATACTTCGCAGCATGCCTTAGCAGTTCCATGTCTGCTTCAACAGGCGACGCTAGCTTCGTCGAAAGTTTCTTCAGCACATACATTAGATCGGGCCTCTCTGGTGCTAAGTACAACAGTATACCTACACCTTTCCTGTACGTGTGGTGATCTTCTTCAGACAATGGGTCCATTCCTCCTTTCTTAGCTTGCATTGCTCTTCCATTGTCTGCCGGGCATGGCAACTTCTTCGGATACGACTGTTCCAACTCCAACGCTTCGATCAATCCTTCGATATACTTCGAGTTCATTGTTATCTCAACGTCTCCCTCGTTCACGGCGTTGAAACCTCTCTTCAGAAAACTCATTGAACCTTCATGTACACTCAATGGTCCTTCGACCTTGATCTTCAACTTCTTCTTCCTCAAAAACTCGATCAATTCCTGAAACTCTTCCTTCGTTGCGTACAGTTCCATGTCATCAACATGTGACAGCACCACCATTCCAGCTTTTCCTTTGTCTGGTCTCCTGTAGAACAAGGCTGGTAGTCCTTCGTCGGACTTAAGTCCGTACTCTTCGAGGTATCCTTTCAGCTTGTTGAACCACGCGCTTGATCCTATCCGTTGTCCTGGCAACGTGAATCCGAGTTCGTAGTACTTTCCGTCGACTTCGACGACTGTTGGTTCTTCTTGCTCTACCATTAAGTAGGCGTCTCCGACATCGATGCTTCCAAGGATGTGGTCGTTCGACGACACGAACATTGCTGAGAGCAACTTCACTGTGCTCGCCACTCCCGTTGGAGAGAAGAGGCTTGCGATGTCCGTTGAACCTAACCACTTGAACTCTCGGGCCACAAGCCGGCCTCGTCGTTGCCATTCATTGTCTCGATGCCTCCAATCGTAGACAACTTTGGTTGAAAGGAACTTATACCTGTCCACATTCGTGCCTTCGGGCAACTCGTTCAGGACTTTCATTCCTGTCAGTCGGCTTAGCTCGTGCTCTCTTGACGCAACATCGACTTTTGCCAACTCACTCTCATCCAACTTCGGAGGTCCATCTTCGAACTTGTTCGACCACTTCGGCATACTTTCTTCGAACTCTTCATCTTCTCCAAGCTCTGAGCTCCTTTCTTCTTCAGGATCTTCAAGCTCGACTTCGAGTCCTTCAAGCTCATCCAACTCGACCTCTTCATCGTCATGATACTTCGGTAAGTCCTTCCTGAGGAATGATGCCACTTCCTGCACACTTCGTGTAGCGATTATCCTTCTCACAGTTCCCGAGGGTTCTCCTCTCTGAATCTTCTCGGGTCGTTCTTCAACTTGTCCGCTTCCTTCGTCGACTCTTGGCCTTGTTGCTTCGGGCTCTTCTGTAGCTCCTCCTTCGAGTTCTCTCTTACTCGCGCCTTCTGGATCCTCTTCCTCGGCTTCACCAGAGGTCAAACTTGCTTCATCTCTTTTCCTTGCCGTTGCTCCTTTCCTACTGCTTGCTTCAGAACCTCTTTGGCCTTCGCCGGGATCTTCATCATCATCATCATCATCACTTGTTGGTGGATCAGACGCCATTGCGTCGCTTGGTCTTTCCGACGCTGTCGGGCTATACTGTGGAGTCTCTAACCCGACTGCTGGAGTTCTCGGGACTTGTACTGGCGGTCCTTCAATTGGTGCCACTTCGATTCCACTCGATGGCGGTAGCCTCTTCGGTTGCTTCGACCGTCCTGTCAACTGCTCTTGGCTATAATTCCAAGGTGTCCCACATGCATTCGCCAATGTCTCCACTTCGAACGTTGGCGAACATTGTCTCATTGTCCGACTTTTGATAATTCCACTCCTGGTGCTCACCAGATTCATGTTCGAAACCATGTCCTTTCCAACGAAGATTCCTTTCTTCCATGGTTCACCTTTCTCCTTTGTCTTTGGTAGTGGTTTTGCCACAACCACACTGCCCCATGGTACCAAAATTCCTTTGTACTCACGGTCAAATACCAACTCGAACGGGGTCTTACCCTGTTGTACAACAAACCTGTTCAGCAGGAATGCTGCGTGTCTTGGTGCCCATGGATAAAGCGTACTCTCGCTTGTGATCTTTACCTTCGCTTCTTTTTCAACTCCATACACCAAAGTCTTCGATAGGTTCCTCACTGTTTGTACCCATCTTTCAACTTGTGCTCCTTGGTGTGTGTCTGGTGCCACATCTTGAATCTCCGTCTCGAGCTTCTGCATTTTCCTTATCGCCTGTACCTTCTTTCTCAACGAAATCATCGCTGGTTCGGTATCCGTTCTCAGGATCACTTTCGGCTGCATTAGCATCAGTACTCTGCAGACTTCTTCTACCAGATAGCTTGTCACTTCCTTGGGAATTGCGTGGACAAACTTTGTGTCTTGGTCCACCGTGATCAGGCTTATGCATAATGCATCTTTCACATCTTTTGCATTCTTCTTCGTTCCTTGTTCCTGTGAACTTGAAATCCATGCTTACCAACGATGCTTCATTCTCCTTCTCTGTCGTCTTGAAGTCATCTTCTCTACTTCTTGTTGCCGAACAGGAACAACTCTCACACCAGTCCGCCTTCGGTAGGTGTGTCAACTCGTGTTTCTTGCCCCAATCTGTGTGGCAATTTCTGTGGCCGCCCCATGTTGAACCGTCCGCGTCCACATCAAGACCACTTCTGCCAAGGCTGTCACGCCCAACGTCGTCTGCAACTGTTCAGCTGCCTGCTTTCCGCCCTCACCATCAACACGATCCGACTCCGAGGAAGGCAATGCAGGCGACGGCCGGAAGAAAAGCAACAGGCGCGATTCCAAAGGCAGCGGACAGCAGAACATGACTGCGTTAAGCTCATGTGGTTCGAGCAGGAACAGAACAAGCTTGGTTCATCTGTAGATCTGGAGCGCTGCGAACACTAGGGAGCTCAACGTGGAAACCCGCTGTCTTGAGGGTAGCCAGCAGGGCAGGCGGAGTCGAGCATTGCGCCAGCAGCTTCCAGCACAGCATTATCGTGGCTGTTCAGGCGTGAACACTAACTCGCAAACATAATGTTTTTGCGACAGAAAAACTGCACATGCCCAAATGTAATAAGTATTTGCAGACAGCTGGCTGAGCTGCAATGCAGACTCTAGACACGGGTTTTTGCGTGAACGCGCGAAGAGCACCAGCTAGCAAGTACACCCAAACAAACTATGCGCTGCGGACTTGAAGTCTTAGGCTTAGCTCGTTAAAAACCCAAGATGCCAAACAAGGCACCAAGGATACAACCAAGCCAACTCACACAAGTCCAAACCAAGCAAGCAAGCTCAGACACTCGGACAACACTTCTGTTTTGGCTTGCAGCACTCACACCAGTGCTCGTCACTTGAGCCAAAGTGGAAAACGTATCACAGCTCTCCAACTTGACAGCTCGGCTTAAAAGACCTCCAAAACTACCCTCAAGTCACGAAACTCGACGAGAGTGGTTCCCTACGAGGCAAAACGTTCTTGCACCACTAATCGTACT